CTTATCCACTAGCTTTTCAAGAACTCGTATAAACTAACCTGACGGTTCAGTGAATCTTCGAAAAGAGTTTATAGGCCTTTAGGAAAACTGCCAGAACTTTCTCTTTTCGGAGACGCTTTTTTTCGATTTACACTCAAGTTTTTTAGCTAAACGAACTTGGGAAAGTGGGTTTTCAGTCTTACTTTAGAGCCCAGTGTCATGACGCCCAATTTGTTAGATCATAAATGATTTATACCGCTGTCAAAATTTCCCGAAATTGAGAGTTGTCCTTCCAAAACAAAAATTAACTGAACCATATTTTACGGGTGACTATAAGAAAATGGCTATTCCAAAGCAAATGACTTAAACTTCCTCGATAGTTTTTTTCATCACATAAGTCTATGCCAAGCAAAGCATCTGTCAGGGCATTGCCAAGGTGGTTAGAATATTATTTTCCCACAAATGCCCAATCATTTATCTTTATGGCAGATATAAAGGTTACCATAGCGACGAGGCACCTGTTAGCTTTGAGAACTTATAATTCAAAAGCGACTCGGTCAACTCCACTGTAGATAAAACTCCTTTGCAAAGTTAAAAAAATCATTTCGTGAATTCACAGTCACCTTTTAAAAATTGTCGAAAATTTAACATGAGCCCCTTGACAGAATATTTTAAATTTTGTAGAAAGTTTTATCTTAACATGTGCCACATTTCAATGTTAAAATGTAAGGATCGCCAAGTCGTTGTTTTAGTAATAAGGTCCTAAGTTAAGTCAAAATTAAAGTGGTGTTAGCAGGTTTTACTGTTCGTATATTAGCCTATTACGTCACAAAGATAACAAAAATGTGTAGGCATTGTTGTGAAACCACTATTGTAACATCACTTGATAAAGATTGGTAGTATTGATCTATCAAAGTGTAACCATTCTTTTTCTGGTTTAACTCTTAATATTTTCCACAACGGGAACACCGCATGTTGCAAACAAACCATAAGAACCAGTGGATGTCGAAGGCACTGTCTGAAATTATTTCACACGCAGACAGGAAAATAAACAAAACGGAGAACACAAAAGGCGGCTCGTTTTACAAAATAAGAAAGCTTTTCACTATTAATTCAAATTTGAATAATGGAAATTTAAGTAGTTCTTACAAACAATGCCCGGAGGTCTTTAACTTTCCAATAAAATATAAACTTACATTTCAACGTCATAGTTTACTGCGGCTGGTGAGCAAGCTGCTTATGCTCATTAACAAGCTGAGCTTTGAAAGACTCCCATTACAGTATCTCGCCCAACTGCTATCTTTCGGTAAGTTTATATTAGCTGTTAATTCTGCTATTTACAAAAATTAACTCATCCACAACGTATGTTGCAAAAAGGTCTTTATAATTCTCGTGCTGTATGATAGTATTTTATATTTTATTACGCGGTGCCGTTAAAAATCGAGGAAGAAGAAAGCATAAGCCAGAAAGGTTAGTGCATCAGAGAACTTTAAAAAACGCCGACTTTCAAGTACCCAAGACAAGTCAGATAAAGCCAATGATTTTTTGGCGGAGCCTATTAATTGAACGATGCCATGTTTGTGTTAATCTCCCCACAGTTAGAAATTGAAAGTCCTGGAAAATGCTGTGGACCGTTCACTGCTTTTTTCTCTTCGCCGGCTTCTTTATGGATCGCGTATCTGCTGGCAAGCAATGCAGAGAGGAACGGAGCATAAATGGGATGGCTTTACAGGGATTCATCTTGAAAAAGTTCTTAGTTAGAGCTCTTCACGAGTGCGATATCAGCTGTGAAACAGAAATCACCTGTCAAAGCTATAACTAGGTCTTAGGGGAAAAGTCGTGCGAACTGAATAACCGCACCAAGGAGGCAAGGCCCGAACATTTTCGCTCAGACCCGGCACGGTTTTACAAACGACGCTTGAGCAACCGGGGTATGCGCAAAAAAAATTGAGAAAGCTTAAACATAGACGTTTTTGAGAGGCGGACATCAACCGGAATTCCAATGCTATCGCCAAAGGAAGAAGATAAAACTTCCAGTTTCCGTCATTGTTTTAAAACTGTCTGTGCTTACGATTTAAGATTAATGCCTAAAATTTCCCCAAATTAATAGAACGTTGTTTTCCCGAAAATTTAATGCTCTTTAATACTCCTGGAGGGCTTTTCCTTCGAGAGAAGAATCTGTATCGAGTGCCAAATTTTAATTGGCCCTATTTGCAACATTTTCGCAAATTTCATCCCTGGAAGTTTCTGGGTAATGGTTCCCTGAAAGTAGTTACTTATTTTATTTCGGTATCCGCGTATCTCGATGAAATGATGAAATTTTCCCCGGTTTTTATCATTTTATTAAAAACAAGATTTCTGTGGGCAGCTATCAGTCTCCATTGACAGAAACACTGTATTTATTATGATGGAGACCAACGTAGTATAATTAGTAAATTTGTATTTTTTTTTCTTTTCTTTTTTTTCGATCAAAGTTCCTCTGGGTTCTATTCCGGAGCTCCCAGCGCATTCATGTCAGGAAATAAAGGCAAGCGAAGGCAAAGACACCATTAGCAGCAAGTACTGGCTGGATCCAACTGCGAATCGAACGGCAGTTTTGGTTTATTGTGACATGGACTTAGAAGGTTACTCACAATCAGCTTTCATGCCATTTCTGTGTTGTTTTTAGTATGACTTGGGTTTTGATTTCGTCGATTTCTTCTCTGTTTAAATAGAAGTAAACTTCTGGACTTTTCTTTGAGTATCACAGCATTTTCATCTACTTTATGACAAAGGTTAAAAAGTTCTTTTTTAA